AAGATCAATCCATGAATCTATGCGTGTTTGTTTTGAATAGTCTGTGTGCAAAATAATTTTCAAATTAAAATTAAAAATAGAGATCTTTTTAGGGATTACACAAAGGAAATTTGAGATTTTTTGACATGACGAAAAGTATTTTTAATTTTAACATGAAAATTATTTTGCACACAGACTATTCAAAACAAACACGCATAGATTCATGGATTGATCTTTATTTTATTTTATTAAGAATACTTCATTAAGAAATATGACTTTTTGTATGTGAAAGACTGCCAAATTTTATGAAGATATACCCAATACATTGAGAGTTATAAGTATTAATTTATAAAGACTTTAAACGAGTACGAAAGGTCTCGTGACTCGGTCAAATTGACAGACCCCGTGTCGAGAGAGTTAACAAGTTAAGAATGAACTTTGTACACTGTAAAAGTAAAATATTGTTTGATGCATTGTGCTTGAGTCTTTTTTTTTAATGTAGTTATAGTTCAGTAATACTTTCAAATAAAAAAGTGTAATACTTATAGAAAGCCTTTCTTCTGAATAGGATCCTTAACAAGCTTACCCCAGAGAAGTTCTTCAAGCTGAGTGAGGAGTTGCTCAGCATTGGCCTCGATACTACTCAGATCCTGAAAGGAATTATTCTTCTGGTGAGAAAATGTGTACATTTAGCTGAAATATATAGAAATGTAGCCTTTCTTTCTTTTCTGTCAATTCCAAACAGCATTTTCTATTTCAATAATTAATCATCGGGTTCTGAAAATGTAAATGAGAATCTGAAAAATTTCAGTTTTTGATCATAAATTTTATAGGAGAATGCTAATAGAAATATTAGATTTGATTATTGAACCACTGGTGGTTTAAAGCTATAATAATAAACTATCTGTCATTTTAAGTTTTGGGAATGTAACTACAATTAATTAGGACATAGAACATGCGTTATGTTGGCGTAAATTAAGAAGAGTAGTATGGAATGTGAATTTCATTCATATAAAATGGTTTATTTTATGCAGTGAAGACCACTGTGTAAAATGTGTTATGTACATATTACATGTTCAGTGAGATTTGTTTAAAATCTCCACTGGTTGTACTATTTTTTATACCCTGTGGTGAATTACATTAATTTAAATGTTGAATACAGTACATATTTTAACAAAATTATTAACTTCATACATATACTTATAGTAGTTCCTATAACAGAAGAATTACATTTTATAAAAGATTATTGACCTTGAAAGTAGTGATTCAGTGTTATGAAAACAAAGGGCAGGATGTATAAATTGCAGATTAGTAGACTTAAGACATGCCATAAATAGAGCTATGTCTGCATGGTCATCCTTTGCTGTGTTGTATCAATTAATATAGTATAAAATCATAGCTAATAATCCATATTTTAATAGTATATCAGTTTTAAGTTCTTGATTTTATTTTTATTTTCCCTAGTGTGAGAAATGTGATATTTTGTCTCTAGGCATCCTCTCTTCTAATTGATTCACTACCTCTCCAATAAGTACGAAATTTAACGAAAATTACTTACTATGAAATCGTCATTGCTTAGACAAAACATAATTCTTTTAGTCTTCAATCTTGTTTGTGCCAATTTTATTTGTATGTCATTATAAGAAAGAAGTTTAATTAGTTTTGAATGTAACTCAGTAAAACCTCGTGACAGTAAAGGATGCCTCTTTGGAAAGTTGTAACACCATACTCTTATTTTCCTAAACAAATTACAGGTATTTTTGTGTTGTAAATGTTAAACATTTTAGTTTTTTCTAACTAGCTCCTTTAGATAACTAGTAAATTATAAATGTTTACCAAATAAAACAATTATTTGAAACTAAATAATGAATTTTTGGTAGATTCTAAAACCTGTGATATTTAGCTGGCTTTCAAGTCTTTAAAATTCCCAAAAAAGTTGTAATAAAAGGATTTTTCCTTAAAAATTCATAATTGTTTTGGGGTACACTGGGTCTTCATTATATGTTGCATAGCTCTGCATTGTTTAATTATTAGAGAGTTCACCAATTACTACCCACGTATCAAACAACATTGCCTTATTTTGTTGCTAGTGTTCCAATATTGTCAGACTACTTTACCAGGTGTAGTGTTCACCAATTCCTACCAATATTGTTGAAACAATTTTGCCTATATAGGGTAAAATGAAAAAATCTAAATTACTCATTTTTTATTTCTAGAATGACTCCATATTATAAGAAATATTTACACACTTTTTATTCTTACAGCCAAAGCTAATAGATTTTTTAAACCTGGGTTCCTTTAGTTTTATTGCTTTAAAGCTGCATTTAGACCCCCCTCAGGATATGCCGAAAGCCATTTATCACAGCCAAAACAGCTTTGTGTAAACAAATGATCAAGTTATAAGCACCCCACTATTGAATTTTAATTATGTAATGATGTGTGCTTGTGCTAGGAAATTGAGTATGAGGAGAAATTGTATTTAATTCTTTTTCCCTTTAAGTTTTTTATCTAACTTACAAGTTGCTAAATTTTACATTTGTTAATTTTATAATGATAAATAAAAAAAGATATACATTAAAAAAATTTAGTGCTTGCTTCTGGATTCTGGCTTTTTGCCATTAGTGGACAAAGCACTGGAAACCTACCTTTTTTTTGTAATGATGCTATTAAATATTAATTTGGATTTCAAATATGCAACTTAGAACATAAAAAAAATAGAATGTCTTGAAACTAATGTAATTTAATTGGCTTTCTAACTCAGTTATAAATGGGTTAAAAATTCCCATTAGCTGGTTGAGTCAAACATTACAAATGCAAACAATGAAACTGAACCTAAATATCTTCTAACCTGGTACCCGAACAATCTAGTTTACCTGTTGATTATAAATAACCTTATAGCAAATGTTGGAGAGAATTGTTTACATTTCTGAAAAACAGGATAAGATAGGAGGGGTGTGGCATGTGGGTTTGATTTTCTAATTTGTCTTAGTAAAGCAAGAAGTTTTGAGGCTAGAAATTTACGTTATGGCCTATCATTAACTATAATATGGTTGTGTAATTTGTGCCAAACTAAGAAGATTGTATAGTGTAGAAATACAATGTAATTAGGACAAATCAGAGCATAGAAGAATTATGTGATACAGAGTTTAAGAATTTAAGTATTTCCTATTGAAATTAAGATATTAAGACTTGTATAATATTAACCTTCTCATGTAAACTGTTTGATGCCAAGTTTATTGACATAGATTTATAGTAAAGTTCTTTAATTAAATTTTGAGGGTTATTGTATATGAAGTGTACAGTGATAACCAATGCTGAAGACTAACCTTCAGAAGAAAGTAAGTTTTACTGCTATTTATTTTTTAAAAAATAGGCAAGTTTATGATGTAGTCTTGTGATTTAAAAAAAAAACACCCTAAGAGACTAATGTCAAAGTTTCCCAAGTTTACCTTAAATTAATTGAAATTAAGCCCTATATTTTTTTGGCCAAATGGTGCTTGAAATCATGTTAAATTAGTTTTAAAACTAATTTCTGAAAAAGGTGTGTGTGTCATTAATAAATTGTATAATTTTATGGTGTAGAGAGAATGGTGAAAGTTAAAATTCACATTATTATTGTTTTCTTACACAGTGTGTTTTTAACTCTGAATAAAAATATTTAACTTAGATCTTTGACAAAGCATTGGATGAGCCGAAGTACAGTTCTATGTATGCTCTCCTATGTCGTAAATTATGTGAAGAAGCCCCAAACTTTGATCCTCCAAGTAATTCTAGCTTTTCCGGAAATGTAAGTATTGTATGCAACATCGTTGTGTTAGTTATTTTTTATGCTTTTTCATAATGAACCACATTATTTGTATGTTTTTGATGAGTACATTTTAACATAATCATTTATGTAATTATATTTAATAAATTAAGTTTATAATCACTTGGCTAAATAAAACGAAAATATACAAGGATTTAATATTATACTGGAACTGAAACGTACATGTATATTTACTGCTTTTAATAAAAGTTTTATTTTAATGCTTTTTATTCTCACAATGAAAATATTTTAATAACCAATTGCATTACATATTTGTTATTATACATTGACAATGAAGAATATATCGGACGTATCACTGGATAAAGTAACGAAATACACCTCTCCCGAGCATCCTAAAACATCTCTTAATCAACTTCTTTTTTCACAACTCTTTCTGTAGTCTTTTCAAACTCCATTCATCATACTTTCCCTTCTTTGTAGTTATAATTTGAGCAAAACAAATAATATTTTGGGTGAATCTACTACAACTCTTCAGTTTCAGTCACACAATGGCTTACTTTATATGAGAGCCCCAATCTCATTTTGGTTTGAATGAATGTCTTAAGTACTGAGAAAACTGGGGTTGTGATCTCACTGTTTTTCAGGTCTAGACACATTTTATTATTAATACACCAGTATGTTGCTGTTAGTGTGATTGCTGTGAAATATAGTAGATAAGCATTGCATAATGATAAAATATCAATTGTACAGCATTTTTGAAGAAACAGTTGAAAAGTTATTTTTGAATTAAATTTTTAAAATTCATTTTGCAGAAATGGTAGTACTAGAGTGTAAAGCAAGTATTTTCATATTTAAATATAATTTCTAGTGAAAAGAAGCATTTGTCATTTAGATTTTTCAGAAAACAGCATGATAATGATTGTTTGTTGTTTTTATAGATGGAATAAAAAAATAACTACAAATTTCATTTAGAACTTTGCATTTCAGACTTTTCGACGACTACTCCTAGCCAAGTGTCAAGATGAATTTGAGAATCGTAGGAAGGCTTCCGAAGGTAATATTGTATATTGAAATATGCCTAAAATTAATACATTTTTTTCTTATTGATTCTGTAAGTTATAATTATAGTTACACAGTTTATATAGTTAGTTATTCTACTTAGGAAGGCTTCCGAAGGTAATATTGTATATTGAAATATGCCTAAAATTAATAAACTTTTATCTCATTGATTCTGTAAGTTATAATTATAGTTACACAGTTTATATAGTTAGTTATTCTACTTAGGAAGGCTTCCAAGGTAATATTGCATATTGAAATATGCCTAAAATTAATACATTTTTTTTCTTATTGATTCTGTAAGTTATAATTATAGTTACATAGTTTATATAATTAGTTATTCTACTTAGGAAGGCTTCCAAGGTAATATTGTATATTGTAATATGCCTAAATTTAATAAACTTTTATCTC